CAACAGACCAGGCCTGGGGGCTCAGAGGCCAGTGCTCTCTCCGAAGCCTGGGCCCCGCCGCTCAACGTGGCAATAAAGCCCACACTTTCAAATCTCCCAACAAAACTCGGGGCAGCAAATGGTCTTGACCCTGCACTGCCTACACGGCCTTTAAAACAGAAATATGTGTTAGAAAACAAGTGTTTATATTTTTAAAACCGCTGTTACATAGAAACAGAGCTTTAAGAAAATAAAAAACAAACAAGCAGCTAAAAAAAAAAAAAACAAAAGATGAAGCTGGAGGTGAACGCAGTTGACTCTGAACCTGAAGAATGAACGCATGCCAACAGCTACCAGGGATATTTGAATAATAGAGAAGAGCGGCAGACGCATATTCCAGCTCTACCCCCGTGGGGTGGGGAGGAGGTGGGGGGGGAGGAGGAACAAATGAGGGGGGCGGCAACCTAATGGTCTAGTAAGGACACAGCAAGAGAGACAAGGCACACGGGTTTAGTTAAAAATGAACTCGGTATGTTTAATAAAGCTTGGTATTACCAAAATCGCGGTACAAACATCAAGTCACACGCCCACACGACAGAATTCCATTTACAAAATGTCCCTCGGGAGGCCTCCTCCGGCTGCGCCCGAGAGAACCCGACCCAGGCCTGCAGTCTAGGGGGCAGAGGAGGCGAGGAGGGGGGCAGAGGGGGAGCGCGGAGGAGGGTGAAGACCAAAAACAGTCCGTATAAAAGCTCAAAAAGAGCCAGGCCGTGGCGTTATCACAATGATACAGGTACAAATAAGAACAAAAATAGAAGGACTCAGGCGGATACAGCAGGCTACGCTGCCAAGAACCAAGACGGCCGCCTTCCTGAGGCATCCCAGATGGGCCACCTCTGCCCGCCATCTCCTGCGTGCTCGCTCGCTCGCGCTCGCTCTCTCGCGCTCTCTCTCACTCACTCTCTCGCTAGAAAACATGGAAGGTATTTTGTGTTTGGAGCTAGTAACCTTGGTCAAACGAGTCCTCCGAAGAATCGCTGAAGGAGGAACGGGCCTCGACCTCTTGAAGCAGCAAACAAAAGGGCTGCTTCCTGCCCGCGGCCGGCTTGGGTTTCAGAGTCCGGGCGGCCGCCAGGCCCCTCTTGCTCAGCTTGGGGCCTCCAGCCGGCTTGCCATTCTTTGCCACCATGCCACACAGGATGGAAGACGTCAGTTTGGAGCCGGACGGGCCTTGGGCAGACCACTCGTCCTTCAGGAATTCTTCGTCTTCCTCTGAGTCCGTATCTGCAGTCAAAGTAGTTTTTAATAAAGTAAGTCATAGAGTGCTGGGGGGGGGCAGTGTCTCCCATTACTCTCAGTGGCTCTGAGAACGCCCGGGCGCGTGCCAGGGCACAGAGGTCCGAATGCCTACGGGCCATGAACAAGCCATGGCCCACCGCCTGGACCTCACCCGGGAGGCCCCCTGGCCGCAGGCCTCACAGAGCTCGTCCTTTCCAGGCTGGCAGCTGCACACAGCCACCTCTGTGAACAGCCTTCCTGGGCCCTGGGGGAGGCGGGAGCCCCACTCTCAGGAAGGTCTCACCCGGGGCTACAGAGGTCACTGCACCCAGCCCACGGGCTCCTTCTGGGAAGGGACAAGATCCAAGAAAGGAAGGGCTCGGGTAAAGCTCTTCTGCCCCAGAAGACCAGTGTCCAGGGGCATGCTGGGCGGCGCAGGCCGACTCATGAGGGCAATCATGCACACGCATCCCAGCTCCCCGCCCAGCAGCATCACGACGGCCATCGTGAAAGCAGCTACACCAAGGAGATTGGCAAGTGATGTTCCAACTCAAGGCTTCCCATCAAAGGGCCGCGTTACCAGCACACTGCTGCTGGCTTCCCCCAAGTCTCCCGCCTTACTGCACAGGGCGGGAAGGCCAGGGTTCTCAAGCTTTCCTGGGAGAGGATCACCCAGCTTTGGGGAAGGGGGCCATCAAGCGGGCACAGCTCTGGCCCCTTTCAACCCCACCCCAAACATCCTCACACCATTTTGATCTGTTTTATCAGTGAAGCTGTCAAGCAAGATTTCATTGGGAAAAACAGCTCCACAGCCAAAGAGTGTAATCCCTTGATCTGATAAAATCCACTCCGGACATGAGGAACAGTAACGAACAGGGCTACAGCTCTGGCAGCACCTGCCATCTCCAAGTCCATGAGAAACTGGTCTGCGTGTGCGTGCGTGTGCGTGCGTGTGCGTGCGTGTGTGCGTGTACCAGGTGCAGGAGGTGAGGCGGAGGCAGTGTCTTCTAGCTGCCTCCTCCTGTACCTACGCTTTCCACTCCCAAGACCCCAACTGCAAGATGGCCTCAAAACTCTAGACAGGGGTGACGTGGACAAGCCCCATTAGGCCCCTGTCCGTCCTTTCCAAGGCCACATCCCAGGCTGGAGACGTCCGTGGGTGACGACAACCAAGCTGGCTTCCCACCAGACATGCCCCCCAACCCCTACAACCCAAAGTGAAAAAGAAAGCTGTTTTCTCTCTTCCCACGTCCTGCCAGCCATCTCCGTGCTAGAAAACACTCTTGACCTCTTTGTGACTTCATCCTCCCATTTATCTACAGAAAAGCCAACATGAAAAATACAAACAAGGGGCGCCTAGGTGGCTCAGGTGGTTAAGCGGCCGACTCTCGATCTCAGCTTAGGTCTTGATCTCAGGGTCTCGAGATCAAGCCCCACGTTGCGCTCTGCCCAAAAACAAACAAACAAACAAACAAACAAACACAAGAGCTCTCTCCAGAGCCAGCTGCATATCATAGCCAGCATCTAGGGGGACACAGATCTTCTGATCTCTCTGCTGCAACTTTAACTCCCTTCCCTCACTGGGACACTGGGACTTTGGACACAGGTGTAGCAGAGAAGCAATCTGAACATGGCTCTGTGCATGCAAACATCTGCACACGGTGGACTCACAGGCTCAGAGCACTCCAAAGACCTCAAGGACGGAGCTACTCTGGCCTCTAGATGTACCCCAAGCACCTGTAAGTGGGAGGAGTATGGGATTCTTCTGGCAGTCAAAGCAGCAGCAATCCTCCCCACTCCCTCCATCATTCTAAAACCAGCAGAGATGGAAAGATCAGACGAAAGCCTTTCTTCCCTCCTCCTCCGGAGCTGTGAGTTTCTGAGATGAGCTCATGGTGCCATGGGCCTGGGCACTGCTGTTCAGCTCACACCCATCCAAAATTGAGGGCCACAAAAGCTATGGCAATCAAGCATGTCCTCAACACCTAAAGTACAAAGGAGCTGTTTACCACACGTTCATCTCTGCGTCAGCCCTAGAGACCCATTAGTGCTGAGCAACCAAACATACGAATGTTTAAAAAAAAAAAACAAAAAAAACCACCCACAACGGCAGCAGCTTAATCTCGTGCCACTGCCAGCTTTTACCAACATGAGCTCACTTAGAGCTCACAACAGCCCTGTGAGGCAGGCGATGACAATTTAACTCCAAGTCCATAAAAACATTTCCTTCCCTCAAAAAAACAAAATTTAACAGCATTACAGGTGTCTACTTCCTTGACATTCAACCACCCCTCCAATGAACCACGCAGAGCCAAACAAAAGCCCGGACACACACATCTAGGCAGTCCCAACGAAAGAGCCCTCCACCCTAGTCAGGGCCTGGGGACGCCCACCACAGACCCTGCTGACAACTGCCAGGAGCCACGAAGCCCCTCCTGGCCTTCACACAGCGGCCACAGGCTTAGTGCGCATGGGTCCTGGGCATCAGGGGCTCCACTCACACACGCCTAGGAGCACCTATTACACGCCACCAGAGGTCCTGGAGAGCCGGCCGTCCGCCCACACACACACCTAGGAGCGCCAACTACGTGCCATGGGCGACCCGGGCCCACCAGAGGCCACCGAGAGCCAGCCATGGGCGCACACACACCCAGGAGCACCGACTGCGCGCCACCTAGGCCACGGAGAGCCAGCAGGGTGGACCCCAGGCTCAGGAAAGCCGCGCTCCCGAGTGCCCGGGCAAAGAGCTCCCATGCAGCACGCCCCGGCCAGTGAGAGGCCCTCAGTCCAGCGGCGGTGCGCTTCCCGCTCGACGCTCGGACCCGGCCGGTCCACCCTCGGGCACAACGCGGGGCAGCCACCTGGAGGGCTGTCAGAAACACAAAGGCAGACGCGGCCCGCACAGCCATCAGTGCGCTGCCCGGCACGGCGTACGCTCTGCGGACAGATGCCGTTCCTCCGAAACCCCGGCCGGAGGACGGAGCGCTGCGGTGGGCGGGCGAGGCCGGTCCCCCTCTACGGTCGTCGCAAACGGCCGCTCCGCGCTCAGCAGCCCCGGCTCTGTGGCGCAAAGGCCTTCGCACCAACGGCTTTCCCGCAACCGAGCGGAAGACCGGTGCAAGAGGGCAGGCGCACTTCCGCTCCCACCCGCCAATCACAGGCACTTCCGCTTTCCGCACCCCCCCACTTCCGGCGTGACCGTCGAGCGCCCACGAAAGAGACGGAAAGAGGAGACTGAGGAGAGAGAGGAAGCGCCCCGAGGCGGCGCGGCGTCCGCTACTTACTGTAGGAGTAGCTGCTTACTTCCGAGGCGAACGGGGAGTGGGCCGACTTGGGCTGGCCTCTGGCCTTGAAGCCCACCTCCATCTTCCTGGCTTTGGCGGCCCTTTTGTGTTTACCTTCTCTGGAGGCTTTGAGGGACAGGCTGAGGCCTTTGGCCAGCGCCTTCCTGTCCTTGCCCAGCAGGCTGTCGTAGGGCGTCAGGTACCTGCCGCAGCCCCCGCTCGCTTTTGACTTCCCCCCAGAACTGTCCGAGAACTTGAAGGGCGACTTGAGCTTGTCCTGCTTCGTGAGGGACAGGGCCTTGTCCAGCTTGCTGGCCAGCTGCTCCTGGTCACTGGCCATCTTCTTCTTCTTAATCTTCAGCTGCAGAGGGAAGTCACGGGTTAAGACATTTGGCGAAACAGGAGAGTGGGTGTCAGCGCACCGGCTTGGACAGAGCTGGGCTCCAGTCCCTTCTCCCTGCCCGTGGCTTCTGGCAAAGTCGCTCAAGCCCTCTGAGCCTCGGTTCTTCCCGCTCCGTAAAACGGGCATAATTACGGCGGGCCTCTTGGGGTTGTCATGAAGGTGAACCGAGACCAGGCCCTCGAAGCTCTTATCACAGAGCTGTTACTGTGGGTTCAGCGATCGCTAAAGCTGGCACTGCCACTGGCTCTCCCCGGCGCTCTCTGGTGCCTCCTAGGGAAGCCCTTTGAGCAAGCGGCCCTGCTGATGCACCGGGGACCCATTAGTGCTGAGACCCGGGCGGGGGGAGGGGGGGAAGGCATGGAACCAAGATAGAAACCCCGCATCCTAGCACGGCTGATCTAGCTCGACCACCTAAGGCAGCCCACGAAGACTGCAGCACAACTTAAATCGGCCCATCCAACTAAATGGGCCGGAGCTGCCAAGAGAATGCCTCGGGCGTGCCTCGGATGCCCGAAGCAGAGAAGAGCAATTCGAGATCTCGCAGATGAAAGTCCTGGTTGCATGTCTGTTACAGTCATTTGCTGTCAAAGGGAAATGTACAGTTTCAAAGCCATTAATGCCCCTCACTTGAACATTTTAGCGCTATTTTCTTTAATCAGATAACATATCATACGGGGGAGAAAGTTGGGATAGGGTCATTTAAACAGCAAGAAGCATCCTTCCCAATTTGCAAGTAAAGGATCCTGATATACAGACTGGCTTTGTTCCCTCCTCCTGGATCCAGTGTCCCTTATATGAGTATTTCCCTCTGATGGCCGAATCAACGGAAACAGTCCCCTTGCGTGCAGCTTTATGAGGAGGGATGACAAGGTACATTAGTATTTAGAGACAAAGGCCTTAAGTGGACGATTTCAATGCTCTGCAGAAATAAGAAAAATCAAGGAGTTGGCTCTCACCCCATTACCCCTGGAGAGTTCACAAGGAAATTACAATGGCATCAAGCCCTTGTTTCTTAGGACTACAGAATGGTGAAGCTGCTCATTAGACAGTTACACTGTTAAACAACAGTAATTGCATTATTTGGTTAAGAACTTGCAGTCTCTCTTCGTGGCTTCAGCAAAGGGTCATGGAGCACACACAGGGTTGTGGCTTTCAGTCTCTGCTCTACCTGAGGCTGCGCTACTTTGGTAAGTCTCTGACCTCCTCTGGGCCTTGATTTCCCCCCTCTGTGCAATAAGGAAGACTGGAGGACAGTCCCTGTGGCACTAAGGCAATCATTTATTTCTACAGTTTCTGTGCAGGACTAGGATCAACAGACCTGTAGAGGGAGCGTGAACTCTGCAATACCCTCCAGACCTTCCACCCTAAGACGGCAGCACACCTGGAAAATAGGCTTACTGACCTGACTCATGAAGTCCGATGAGGCTTCGTGCTCGTCCCAAGGCTGGTTCCTGCCCCTCGCTTTCCCCGTTCCAACGAGGGCATCGTGTTCCTCCTCAGGTCCCTTGTGTCTCTTCCTCATCCCTGCTCCAAGCTCGTACTCCTCCGACGTCAGCAGGGGCTTGCTGCTCAGCCTGAAACCCAGATGCACTGCTGGTCAACACCCCGGCCAGGAAAGACTCAAGGGTTGGGGGTCCGCCCTCACGGCCCTGAAGGGTGGGCTCTGGATGTCGAAGCACAGACAGTGGTGGCAGAGTGACGGATCTGGGGAGACGGATCCTGTGAAGCTATGGTGCTGGGATTCTATTTGTGAATGGGGCAGAATGAGAGTTTAACAGGAAAGAAGAAATGCTTCTCCAAGGCAGTGTGCTCTGCTGGCCTCTTTCTCGCTTGTGCTTCTTCACACATACAGTCACACACACACACCTTATCAAAACGTGCCAAGAACAAGGATCAGAAATGTCAAGGTACTCTCCCAGGATGGGAGGGGGGTAAGAGTCACTGGCTGGTCTCCTGTACCCCTGGGATTAAGAGAGTCAGGATATGGTCCCAGGCTGAAGGCTTCTCTTGCCTACTTTAAGCTAAACCCTCACAAGTAATAAGAGCGATTAATTTTTACTTGGTGCCAACTATATGCTTTGTTCCATGTCAGTGCTTTGTATTTCAGCCACAAAACAATGTTCTACATACTGGTTTTTACACGGGGGAAACTGAGGCTCCAAAAAGCTAGCACAGAGCCCGAGGTCACAATAAACCCTGGATGGAGCTGGACGCAAAAGCGGGAAAGTGCGCCCACCTCCAGGGGCTGCCTGCAGGCGGCCTCAACCTCTGCTGTCTTCAGGAACTGCTTCCCTACCCTCCTCTGGCTGGTTGTACGGGACTTCTTCCAGTCTCCAACCTCTCCTCCACCAGGAACATCCAAGGAGAATAAATGCAAGTCGTGGGGGCGCTCGGGGTGGCCTTCTGACAAGACCTGTGGCCAACCCACTGGCTCTCCTATGCCTTCTGAAGCCACCCTGCAGCCCCCTCTACTTCCTCAAGCCAAGTACCAGGCCGCCTAGTGTCTGCCCTGCCCTGATGGCCCAGGCCGAGGCACGCTCCAACTCCGGTCCTCTGATGGGCTTCATTCGACTCGTGCTACTCCCTGACACCCAGGAAGACCGAAGCATCATTCCTATCCGTGCCTAGCCTGGAGGAAGAGCTCTCATTCCAGCCACCATTCAAGAAAACCTCCAGAGGTGCCACACGTAGCTTCTGCTGCCACTCAAGGAGCGCACAGAGGGGCAGCCCCGGGTTACAGGCTCAGGTGCGACAAGCCAACAGGTCAGGCCAGGAGGACAGGAATGACACTGTCACTCACGCAGGGAGCCAAGTGACAGCACAAGTCAGAGCCCGTCCCAGCAGGGCTGGAAGCTCAGTGGATCCCTTTGCAGGGAGGAGGTCCGTGGAGAAGAGCAGGAATTAGTCCCTAACCATGGAGGAAGCAGGTGTGGCAGGAAGATGGGTGAAGCGCTTAGCTGATGGCACGGACACCTCTCATCACTGGGGTCATCTGCCCACTCAGTGCCGGGTGGGGGAGTCTGCCTGTCCATTCGCCACTCGCCTGGCTCACCCTCCTGGCCCGGGCAGCGCGCACTGTGCTCCCTGAGAACTACCAAACCAGGTGGGTCAGAGCCCGAGGGACTCGAGGTCCCCGGTGCCCAGACACAGGCCCTGCCGCGGGCCCGTGCTCCTCCCCTCCGAGCTCTGTGCCAGTTCCCGACCCACCGAGGGGCCAGCCTTACTTTCCGCTACTGTTGCGGCTCTTCCCTCTCTTGCGGGGGGGCGACAGGGCGCTCAGGGCGTGGGTCCGTTTCCTCGGCCTGCCAGGGCCTCTGCGTGCCAAGCTTCTATGGGGTTCCTCGCGCCTGTCCCTTAAAAAGAATCACACGCTTGGCTGTGAACCTGGGGGGTGGGGGGGGGGGGCGCGGAGAAGGGCACACGATACACACACATCACTCAGGTCCACACACACCTCTAATGGCCTAGCACAGTCAACCTACTGAGCGCCAGCGCCTACAAGAGCCCAACCAGGGCACCACCTGCTGCGGCCTCGTCGCCCGGCCGGCTGGAGGGGACGCGGGAAATGGCTGGGGTGCACACTCACTCGGAGTCGCGGCGTCTCTGCAGCTTCACCAGCTCTCGCTGCTTCTCCTTGTACCGCCGCTGGACCTCGGCCAGCCGCATCCGGAAGTCCAGCTCCATGGCATCCATGCTTTCCAAGGAGGACTTCATGGCATACAACTGCAGGGAGAGCGGGGTGAGGATGCCGACCCCACCAGCTCCCACCACAGACACGCGTGGCGAGGCTTGATGGCGACGGGGCCCCAGCTCGAACCCCATCTCTGCCACTTACTAGCCAAGGCCGTAGGCAGGACGCAGGACAAGGACCAAAACCCAACTCTGCAGGGCTGAGTCAAGGGCAAAGTGGCCCGGGACAACTGCTTAAGCAGTGTGGGCCATCGTGTTATACATCACTTACAGATGGAGGCTCAGACAGGTGAGGCGCTTGCCCGGGGCCCACAGGCAGGAAGGGGCACGGCCAGGCCCACTCTTCCCGACCCATCAGGCTGTCGCCCATTATTACATGGATAAACTGAGACCCAGAAAGGGGAAACAGCTTGCCCAGGATTGCACAGCAAGTCAGTGGTGGAAGTTGGACTCAGATCAGGCCCTTCCAGCTCCAAAGCCAGCCATGTCCCCAGCAAGATGGCATCTCAGGGGCACCCACCTCCATTCCCACCCCACAGGCCACAGGCAGGCAAACACAGGCCCAGGACACCTCACCCGCTCCTCCTTCTTCTGCATCCAGCTATACTTCTTGTTGGGGTTCAGCTCCCGCGGAAGCCGCAGGTTCTTGAGCGGGTCCACGAAGGGGCTGTCCAACACCTCCTTCAGCATGTGGCTGCTGGCTGCCAGCAGGCTCTCCAGCGAGGGCCGCACCGCCAGGCCCCGCTCCGCACCTGCACACGGGAGACAGCTGAGCCCACGCCTCTGCGCCTGCCCCGCCGCGCTACCTGGGGCCAGGATTCACGGGCATGGCAGCCAACCCTGCTCAGACCCCAAACAGGGAGAAGAATGCGACCCAGGACCAGCTCAGGGCTTGCCCAAGGCCACATGGCCCCCATGACTGGACCGCGGCCTTTCCGAGAAGAAATGGTGCCAAGTGAGAGGACAAGTGAGAGCCGGGGCACACAGTACGCCCTGTTCCAAACGTCTACTGCTGCACAAAGTCGCCAAGAGTGGCCAAGCGCCGGCAGAGGTACTTTCTAGAGTGTGCCTCTTTCTGCTTTTCTGCCTTTTAAATTTTCCATGAAGAATATGCATGGTTTTCATTTTCAGAAAAAAAGGAGCCCGGATTAAGTTTCATAAACTGTAAAAGTAATATGAGAACTCAAAAAATACAAACCAGGCAGAAAGGTGTAAAGAAACGAAAACCTTCCCCACCCCAGCAGAGCTGCCCCGGCCCCCGGAGGGGCCACGGCTGACATTCTGGTAGAGGGCCCTGCAAACAGTCACCCGTGACGTCCGTGGATATCCTTTATAACTAGGGAAACGGCAGCAACCCACACACACGGAATCACACTTCGCCTCTTTTCACACAGTCCCGCGTAACGAAGCTCCACCACATGTTATTAGCTTGAACCTTATAAAAACTGTCATCTCTGCAGGTCCAAAACACCAGAATATTAGCAATTTTATGTGGCTAACCCCAGTAACAGCTGGCTAGAATTCTCTTGCAGTGCTGAGTTTTAATCTATCTAAATAATCCTCTACTAACGACATTTTGGTCATTTCTAAACTTTTTATTTTTTTGGTAGTGGGTGGACAGGCACACAGTCAGGACACACGTGTTTTAGAATTCCTATGTGTGTGATTAACTTGATCAAGGTATGTGCATTTCTCTCTCTCATAAATATTCCAGCCACCCTTCAGAAAGGGCGCACCAACTGAGAATCTCAGCAGTGGCTCATGGGAGCCCACCTCCTCTCCAGTCTCTCCCGAAGTAAAAGGAGTTTTGATTTTTTTTTAACTGGTGTTTTCCTGGTGATCTAACATGCAATCAGTTTTTGTGAATGTACCTGACGTACTGGTTTTTCACGTGTACCTGAGAAGAAAAGTGTATTCTTTACCACCGATCGTGCAGTTCCATAAAATCAACGTCAGTGATTATCTCGCACAGATCAGGGCTTCCCAACCTTGGTGCCTTCCACAGTGCAGTCAGCTCATCCTCTGCCACAGGGGCGGCTGTCCTGGGCATGCGCTGGAGGAGTGGCGTAGTGGCATCTCCTACCTTTACCCACTAGATGTCAGCAGTACTCGCCCAAGCAGTGACAAACCAGCCGTGTCACTGCCGACAGGCTTTGCTCTTCCATATCCTTACAGAAACTGAGGCTGCAAAGCGGTGAACCCCATCAGCTCACAAGGGGCTGGTATGAGACTGAATGAAGCACGTGGCCCACCCCAAGGTGAGGTGGTGTTTGTGATGGGAGCCCTGGCTAACTAATACACCAGCCTGTGGATGTACCAACACGGAGGTGACCCGTGGGGAAGCTCTAAGCACGACCTGGGGCCTTTTGCAGAGGACTGAAGCTCAGCATCCCAATCAGCAGCTGCTGGGAAGAGAAGAGGGCCACCAGGACCTCCCTCACCCCTACAGCGCACACACCCCTACACACCAGCACTTCCCAAGTGCACTTGCTAGCCCAGGGTCACAGATCCAGCCCTGGGCCACACCTCCGTTGCAGAAACCAGCTGCAGGTCACAAAACCTACCCCCCCACCCCCACTGCTTCTTGGAAAGTCTGCTCTTCAGGGGCTCAGGCCAGGAGCCCTGGAGTCGCTCTTACACCCACAGAGAAGTCTGGCAGAGCCCACTGGCTGCCCTTAACCTCCACTCAGAATCCTCTCCTTACCTCCACCTGCCCCCCCCTCCACCCCAGGCCCGGAGCCTCCTCCTGGGTCTCCCTGCATCCACGCTTGCCCCGGCATCAGTTGTCCACACAGCCCCCAAAATGACCCTATTTAAGTCTGATCCTATCACTGCAACTCCAAATCCTCTTCCAGGAGTGCCCAGGGACCCACCCCCTCCCCATCCCACCAACCTCCTCGCAGCCACCACTCTCCTCCTCCCGCTTTGCTCTACCCCCAGCCTCCTTTCTCTTGTTCCAGTGTGCCCCACACAGTGCCACACACACTATTCACCTCAGGGCCTTTGCACCTGCTGTTCCGTCAGCCTGGAATGCTTTCCCCAGGAGAGTTCCTCCCTGGCCTTCCTCAGGTCACTTTATCAAGAAGGCCTTCCCTGGCTGCCTCGTCTCCACCCTGACCCCTTCCCACTGTTTCCACCTACTACTGCCTGTCACCACCCGACAGTGCCGAGGGCTGCACGTGGACGGCCTTGTCCAGAAGCAATGCCGGGCACACAGTTAAATGAGGGCAAGTAGGACCCCCAAACTGAAAATGAGGCAGGGGTGTAAAAAGGAGCAAGGGTGGGCAGCAGTCCCCAAACCAGGGAACCCATCCTTAGCCCCTCCTTCCCAGATGCGGCTGGCCCTCTGCAGCCCCCACTGAAAACCCAGGATTCAAGAGGGTTTTCATTTTTTTCTGAAAAATAATTTTTTGTATAAAACTATTTAAATGAGAAAGAAGTCGTCATGAACTTTAGAATAACAAGAACCAAACAAGAGACCCCTGTGGGGGAGTGGGCAGCACCTGTCCAAGCTTCTGGGGGGGCCACATAACCATGGCAATAAACAAGCCTTGAAAATGTGGCCTTGGTTCAGACCTAGCAATTCCACCCCTGGGAATGAACATACCTCCAGGAAAATCAGAGGTGTGGCCAAGGATTTTTCTTCAGGCATAATCATCACGTTATTTACAACAGCAAAACAAAACAAGGCAGTGCCTGACAATCTAAGACTAGGTCACTGAAGGCCGGGGCCGCCACTAGCTGGAAAACTCGACTGTCCCTAAAAAAACTTGTAAAGTCACACAGCTTTGAAAAATATTTCATAGAGAATATGCTAAGCGCAAAGGGCAGCTCACAGAACATTGTTTACAAAACGATCTTAATTTTAGAAGTGTATGTGTGTAGAAAAAGTTCTAGAAAAAATGCACCAAAACACTGGCAACACTATTATTACCGCCCTGACAACTGTCGCCAGGGCCCCTCCCTCCTTCGTGCCAGTTCTGGGCCGAGCGTGGGGTGGTGAGGCTGACCTGGCCCACAGCCCCTTCTGCACACGTTTCTTGGAACACCCTGAGTTGTTTCTGTGTTGAACACCAGTGGGTTTGCGCCCAGCCCAGAACTCGCTACCCTTCTACTGAAAGGACCCGTTTCCTTCTGAGGGCTACCCCTCCCTGCCGCCCCCCAGAGCAGACAGCCCCATGAGGGGCAGTGAACAATCAGCCTGTTCCTTCCCACCTCCCCGGCCGCACAGTTTGCTTCTGCAGAAAGCATGAACCCCAGGGAGCCAATGAAAATGAATCAAAGTACGTTTGCCAGAGCTACCAGGAAAGAGGTGGCCTCTTTTGAGAGTCGGCTGAATTGGGCAGGCCTATGGGCCTGCGAGGAAGTGCTGGTGACCCCCATGAGGGCAGTGGGCCTGCCGTGAATGAGGCCAACAGAGAGAAAAGTGGAGCAGGTGGAGAGAGAGATGGGGAAGGGGGTACAAACGAAACTTCTGATGACTTAAAACGCCCAGATCCAGCCACACCTGAAACTTAACTACCTAATGACCGCCGTACTTAAGTTCCAAGAGCCAATTTCCCGAACCTTTTTCTATGCCAGTTCAAAGGAGAGTTCCTGTCCCCTGCAACCCAAAGAATGGTGCCAATACAAAACCCAGCACTGACAAACAAGGAGAAACGTCACCACTACGACACCCACAGACTGGCTGCACGGCAACATGAATGTGCTCGGAACGCTACTAAACTGTAACCAGTTGAAATGGTAAATTTCATTATGTGTATTTTGCCTCAACTTTAAAAAAAAAAAAAAGGACACGAACAAACCACATCCTTGGGATTTTCAAATTTAAATTCTTATGAAAAAACACAGAAAATGCCACAGACACCAAGCACCCCTCGTGGCTCACCTCCCACCTCCTGGCTCCTCTTTTCCAGCTCCAGCTCGGCAATTTCGCTCAGCAGGGTGATGCCGTGCAAGAAGCTCTGCTCCAGGACCAGGCTCTGCGCCGCCTCCAGCTTCTCCAGGGCCTGGGCTCCGGTGCCCGGGGACGGCAGGGGCCTGGCCTGGGGCAGCTCCGCAGCCGCCGCCAGGGCGTTCATGCCAGCCAACGGGTCCTCCAGGCCAGGCGGAAACTGGTCGGAGCCTTCCTCCTCCAGGAAGCAGGGGCCGCTGGGCACAGTTGCGGCCTCCCGGGCCTCCAGACTCAGGCATTCTCCCTCCCCAGCAGCCACGTCACAGTCCGCCAACTCCAGGCCGGCCCGGGGCTCGCTCGGGGCCGCCTGGGCTAGGCCCTCCTCGGGCACCGCCTCCACCACGGGCACGGCCATGGGCATATCGACGGGCACCTCCACGGGCTCCTCCTTGGCCTCGACCAGGGTCTCTGGCGTCAGCCGCGCCCCCAGGTCCGGGGCGGCCGTGCACGGTTCTGTCCGGCCCGGTGAATCGACCCGCGCTTCGGCCCCCTCCGCGAAGTCCGGGCCCCCGGGGGGCTCCACGGCCCCCTGCCCGCCGGCGCTCAGCGCCTGGGCCTCCAGCAGACCGCCTCCACAGCCAGCCGCGGGGCTTGGGGCTGCCAGGGCCTCCGTGGGGGGCAGTGTCAGAGGCGACTCCAAGGAAGGCAGCTCGGTGGGCCCTTCGTCCATGTCCTCCACCTCAGCCTTCACCTCCCGTTCTGCCAGTGGCTCTTGGTCTGGGCCCTCTCGCAGAGGCTCCGGGATCTTGGAGGGGGACAAGCGGATGGGCTTGTCTTCAGGCGAGAGCGCCAGGCGCTCGGGCCCGTCGGCCGGCAGTGGCACGTCGGGGGCCAGGCCATCGGCGTCGGCGGCCGCTGTGGGTTGCAGCAGGAACGGGTAGGGCCTCCCGTAGTGCGGCGGCAGGGCTTGAAACGGGTACCTGGGTGGGATATCTGCCAAGGACACGGAGAGTCAGCAGGGGCCCCTTCACCTGTCACATCTGACATCCCCCATGGCCCCATCCACACCCACGCACCCCCAGCCACAACGGAGGCCCATGGCCACCCTCTCGTCCGGGCCAGCCTACAGAGCTGCGACCTCTTCCAGGCGGTGTCTGAAGACCCCTGGGGCCTTTCGGCATGTCCCGGGGACAGAGAGAAAAGTCAGCCACCATCCTGGCCCCAAGGGGCTTCAGATCTCAAAGGCAGAAACCATAACCGGCTTTCTTTCTTTCTCTAGCCCCCGACCCCGCAGCACCCAGCACGAGGCTGGCCCAGAAGCAAATGCTCAGTAGACCGCCCATGGTCTTCACCCAGCCGGGGCATCTCTGGTCCTCCATTCCCGCCCCATCGCATTAAGGCAGAGGTGGGCCATCCAGGTTGTGAGCCATCCAGGTTGTTCAAGAAGTAACAGTAATGCAATGCTGCCCTTCCCCCCACTTTCCTAAACTCCCACCCTCAGAGTGTAATCTCCCAAGAGCAGGATGGTGTGCAGGCGGATCTCTGCAGTGCTCCCAGTGCTCCACAGGAACCTGCTGACCAGGGGGTGACGGGTGCACACAACAGCCCCCGGGACCAGACACGTGCTCAGTGTCGGACATGAGCATGGCATCAAATCTCCCTGGGGAGGGGCAGCCACTTGCCCCAAGATCACATGGCATTCTGGTGGCAGAATGTGAATTTGAACTCACACCCTCCCAAGCATGCTCTCACACTCTTAACAGCCACCAGGGAGGAGGGACGCCATTAAGGCTACCTGCTGCACGTCCCACTGACACAGGCCGGCGGGGGGGGGCCCAAAATGGGGGAGTCCCATGCTGCTATCGCTGTGACAACCCAGCACCTCCCGTGAGCCAGCCATGTGCCTTACGGTTCTTACTTTGCTTAACCCTCAGAACGAGTCCTTTGGAAATAGTTTTTTTCCTTTAAGTAGCTTCCACGCCCAGCATGGAGCCCAACGTGGGGCTTGAACTCGTGACGCTGAGATCAAGAGTCAGACGCTTAACAGCCTGAGCCACCCGGGCACCCCCTAAGGGCGGTTCTAATGTAACGCCCATTTCCCTGACCGTGCCCCTGAGGCGGGGCCCGAGAGAGGCCCGAGAGAGGCGGTGGCTGACCCACATGCCCCTGCGTTCATTCCAGAGCCTGGTGGCAGGCCCGGTGCATGGCAGGTACCCAGCAGAGACAGAGGAAGGAAGGAAGGGCCGGACAAATGGAGGGTCAATGCCCCGGCGGGGGGCAGCTCCACCAGAGCCAGAGACGACTCCAGTCTGGGCAGCACGCGGCCCCCAGGGGTCTGAGCCGCACTCCTACCCGAGAACAAGGCCTGGAAGGGGCTGGGGGCTTCCTTCTCCAGCTCCAAGTCCTTCTTCTCCACGACGTTCTCGGGTGCTTCCTCCTTGCGGGTGATGCCAGCAGTGGGCGGCGGGGAGGCGGGCGGCGGGCTGCTGGGGTGGGAGCTGGGCGTGGCGGGGTAGGCGTACGTGGGCGCCTTGGATACATCCTCCAGTTTCTGGATGACTTTGGCCTTCAGGGCAGCCACAGGGGAAGCGCGGGGAGATGGCGGCGGGCTCATGGCCTTGCCGTAGGCGCCCGTAGGGCCGGTGGCCAGGCCGGGGGGCTTCCGAGGCAGCAGCCCAGGGCCCGCGGCAGCCAGGCCGGCCTTGCCTGCAGCCTCCAGGCTCCGCTTGCTCACCTTCTCCTCCATCTCCACCCGATGTTCCTGGGCCTTCAGCCGCTCCTGCTGGGGAGGGGGCCGCCAGGCGGGGTCAACACAGCAGGAACCATCACCCAGCACCTGCCCTGTCCCCGGGGTCCCCTCGAGCGGGGTCCAGGGTGCAGGCTGCCCACCCTCCCAGCCTGCTATGGACATTCCGCCATGACCCGCGTGTAACAAGCACAGCGTTCCTTGTGGAACCCCAGATGGGGCTGCGGGGGCGGGGGGGGGGGCCTGCAGTCCAGACCCTGGCCCTGCTGGGAGCCTTGCAGTCAGGACAGAGAAGGCAGAGCAGAGGCAAGAGGCTCCTGATGATGGAGCCGCCCCACTCCCCACACTTTGATGGCATTAGAATAGCTACATTCACGGAAAACTCACTACCTACTGAGTGCTCTCCTGCCTTATCACCTTTGGGTCTCAAAATGCCTGTGCGGGGGGGGGCCCTTCCTACATTTGATGCCTTTTGAGGCAATGGGAGGGGGCTGCTTGAGGACAGCCAGAGCTCATGGGGC